TCCCAGTGATACAAAAAACACTATCTACTCCTGAGCTCAAATGGCCAAATCATATTCAGGAATAAGGACCCTTCAGCTCTAAATTTTCACACCAAACCCAACAAACCCTACAGCTTGGGAAAAATTCTTCTAGGAACAGTGCCTCTAGCATGCTACATTCTCCCTGATAGTTAATGTATAATAAATAAGAATGAAATATGAGAAAATTATTGTCTCAGGGTTTTCCTACCTTCTTCCTCTGGAACACACTGGCAGCAATTACATTTCTACTCTGGTTGCTTAAGGAAGCAAAGTTTCCATGATCATTCTGCCCAAACATGTGTACATCGTATGCTCCCTGGCAAGTTTTTAATCCAACCTGACAAGAGCTTAGAGATTTCCAAGATATTTAGTCTCTGAACTATTCCATAAAAGCAGGCTGGTCACGGGCAGCCAGCAGATCCCAGTGCACAGAGACAGGGATTTCGACATGAGCTCATCCCCTTTGGACACCGCAATTCCGAACCACAGGAAACCAAGCTTCATTACTGGGAGATGCTTTATCTAAACCAGTTCATTTCTCCTTATTCCAGGGGGCCCGAAAAGTGTTAAATTGACTTTTTTTCTTGGCTTCGCTTCCTAAGGAGCTGGGATTTCCCTCTGGAGACTCTTCCATGGCCCTGCTGACATCACGGCGAGGAAGCCTGCCGAAAAGCAAGCTTGTGTCTTCCTTTTTCTAATTGCAGGTTCTTGCCCCCAGTCCCATTCTTGGCTTTTGCCTCTCCTGATTACTATCCCTTCCCTTCCCCTGTTCCTCTTTCCTCCCGGCTCCCAGATATTTATAGGCAGCGAGGTCATCTTTTTCTGCCTCTTTTCCAACACGAACGTATCCAGTTCCTCCACTCTCTCCTTCTAGGACCTGCCCTCTAACCCTGTCGCCCATTTTACTGAGTCCTTTTGGACACGCTCCAGGTTTTTGATGTCCTTTTTCTATTCTGCATCCCAGGCCCAAATACCTCGTGCTAGCTGCCATTACCAAAGCAAAATACTAATAACCTCAGTTAATTTTTAACACACTTACATCTTTTGCAGTCTTTTGTACCCTAAAAGCACTGAAAAAAAAACACTGTAAATTAATTTTTGCGCTACTTCTGCAACAGTGCCTTTTGCTTCAGGTAGAAAAAATAACAAATCAAAGTTGTGGCTTGCCTAAAAGTTACAACTGCCAAGACATTATTATTACCATTTGTGTTTTGCAGAAAGAAAGTTGAGGTGCAGGGAATTATATCAATTTACCAACAGCTCCAGCAAGCCAAGGGCAGAGCCAGGCTCTAATGGATTTTTAGTTATGTCCCTTAAGATTAGCCAACAAGCTGTTCTGATAAGTGCTGGGAAATGCAAGTGAGGAAGTTCTGCAAAATGTGTCAGAAGACAATTTCCTGATTAAAAAAAAAAAGAGAAAAAGCAACAGGGTGGTTAGTTACTTTTCTAATGACTAACACGGAAGAAATCACCACTAACTTGAGACTTTCAGGCTACTTGGATGGGATGGTTTAAGGGAACTTGCGCACGATTACATCCAAGTTCCAGAAATTTGGAGGAAGCAGATTACTCATGGAATGGCATAAGACATGGAAGTGAGATGGACGCAAAACATGCAGTTTTCTCTGCATCTCATACCGAGCTAGTACGAATGTGCCAGCAAATCAGGACGGCTCCCCCAGCCCCTAAAGCAAAATCAGTGCCAGAATCATGTTGTTCAACAAGCCAGTTAGGACTGTCTGTAACTCATTCCCAAACCCTCCGTCTCACTCCGGAGTATTTTCTCCAGTGATAAGGCTTCGTCAGGAAACACAGCTGGATGGAGGAAGGAAATTCTGAGAAGCAAAAAAAAAAAAAAGAAATAGTGGGGGTTCCAGGAAGTTCAAGCAGATAGGAACTAATGGAATTTGTTTTTCTGTCTCCCCAGCTCCCAGTGTTCCTAAGCAAGTGAGAAAACTAGAGGGAAAGTTTGTGGGGGGAAGCTCTGGCAGATCTTACCCTGCAAAACAGGTCCCCACTGCAGGTCTCCAGAGAGCACCATAATTACAATTCAATATTTTTGATCACTTACTCTCTCTGGGAAAAACTGCAGACGTTTCCAATTTAGGTCCAGTCCTAAACCCAGCTATTGTTTTCTCTACACCCCCCACCTTTTTAAATTTTTTTTATTTGTATTTTTTTAAGAAAGGTCCCTGTATCGTTTATTAAGGAGGTTTTATTTGGAAACATCATTTATCTTTTAAGTTACTTTATGTTTATCAATCAGGAGAATTAAAGGTTGCTTGTGCTAATACTAATAACATATATTCCAGCATCTCTAAAACAATAGCTGAAGTAGTGTCTTCACTTTATGTTTCTACAGA